GAATGTAATGAAAAATTCCAGCGTTTTTCCAATTTTTCAAATCTACCAACCTTCATCTCAGGCGGTGATTTTCGTTTCCAGTCAGTGGACGGCTTTCGAGAAGGCTCTAATGGGACCTTTTCCTTAATTTCCGCGGATGGTTTTCGTTTCGCATCCTCGCCACTGCTTGAGGAGTTTTCCCTTGATTTTCGTTTTGGAACAAATGCCATCTTCAAGGATTTTGTGTCATCCTCTCCCTCTGGCGAAACCTTTCCTTTCCTAGTTTTGATATCACCATCAATCAGCCCCTTGAAGGGATAAAAATTACAATCTTTTCTGGAAAATTTCGAAACTGGGTACCTACCCTCAGTCCAAGGCTTTCATATTCCATCTCATCTTTTGTTTCTAGAAGATGTCCTATCATTCCTCTATATCCGATACCATTAGCTGATTTTGGCCGAATCAACTCCTCAACAGTCTAGAAAATGGCTGTTTACCTTGTGGTAATATTCTGGATTTACAACAAATACTCACAGGACTTCTATATGGGACCCCTTTTAATTTCTCGAGAGCTGTTCCCAAAATACCTATCCGAGTGCTCACTTCTTCTCTAAAACATTTGCATTTTCGAAAAAAAAAATTAGACAGAGGAAGTTTAGGTAATAATTATACCTATCCGCTTGAAGATCCTTGAGAGCTTCTCGCACTTCTTTTAAACCTGAGGCGAGTATTCCTTTTCTTCCATTTAAGGAATGCGCTCTCTTTCTAATTATTACTGGAGGATCCTATAATTGAAGAATGGGTAAGGTTTCGACCAACTGGAACAGGTTATAAGGTAAAGTTTACTCACTTTCCCACTTTTTTCCAGCTCCCATAGAGCGTTGGCAAGTATGCCGGGCGGTCTGTCGATTCCATTCATCGCTAACGATTCAAATCTGGAAAAGAATGCAATGATACAAGTGGGGGGATATGAAAATACGAGATTTTAACCGAAATCCATAAGCTTAAGGTTTTTTTAAGGTTGGAAGCATAGTTTGAGGAAGAAAAAACACTTACAACATAACTATAACAAGTAATATAGATGGTAGTGGCAGTATGTTGGCTGCTTTAGGCAAGGTGAGGCTTTTCGGGTAAGATTGGCTATAGCCCGATGGTGAGGCAGCTTAGGCCACCACGCCCTACGTCTTCCGGTCATTGAAGCGAACAACGAGAAACACTCTTTCCGCTTGACAAATACGTGATTTCGAAACTTCTCGGCCAAATCTAAGGTGAAGAAAGGTTAAAATTACTTCACGCTTCAGGAAATTTAGTTGACTCATAGGTAGAATTTTACTTTACATGGTCTAGTAAGCATATGTCAATCCATTGCATTGATTGTACTTTCGAGAAATGTCAGCTACGAAATATCATGAATAGTAAGGTGCAGGAAGGAAAACGAGAAAAAAAACTATAGGATAGTACAAGTGCACCCTGATTCAGAACCTTTTTTAGAATGAAATCCATAAAAAAAGGAAAATCATGAATGATAGTTTCCGACTAGAGCGGCTTGAAAAATTCGACTTATTCCGTTGCTCTCCAAAAAACTCAATTGCTTACATTTTGCTCCCCTGAGTAGTATCTTTGAGCTGAGCATGAAGAGGGCATATTCATTCACTAGTAAATATTGTTTTCTTTTATGGTTACATAGATTAGTAAGCCTGGCCAAAAGTTTCAAAACTGGAATTGAGAACGGGCTAGGTTTGAGCTATTTTAGCCTTATTTTTACTTA